TGGAGCTCCTTTGTAGGTAACTAGCTTTTTCTCCTTTGCCATCTTTAAGATTCTCTCTTTTGTCTTTAATTTTTGCCCTTTTAATTGTGATGTGCCTTGGTGTGGACATCTTTGGGTTCATCTTGACTGGAACTCTCTGTGCTTCCTGAACCTGCATGACCCTCTCCCTCATCAAATTAGAGAAGTTTTCTGTCATTATTTCTTCAAACAGGTTTTCTATTCCTGGCTCCCTTTATTCTCCTTCTGGTATCTATCCCTGTGATGTGAATATTGTTATGTTTCACATTGTCCCAAAGCTCCTTTAAACTATCCTCATTCTTTTTTAAAAAAAAATATGTATATTGTATTGATTATGCTATTACAGTTGTCCCAATTTTTTTCTCTCCTTTATTACCCTCTGCCCTGCACCCCCCGCCACTAGCATTTTCACCCCTTAGTTTATGTCTGTGGGTTGTAAATACAAGTTCTTTGGCTTCTCCATTTTCTATACTATTCTTAACTTCTCCCTGTCTATTTTGTACCTATCATTTATGCTACTTATTCCCTGAACCTTTTCCCCCATTTTCCCCCCTCCCTCCTCACTGATAACACTCCACATGTTCTCCATTTCTGTGATTCTATTCCTATTCTAGTTGTTTGCTTAGTTTTCTTTGTTCTTATTTTGTTTTGTTTTAGGTTCAGTCATTGATAGTTGTGAGTTTGTTGTAATTTTACTGTTCAGATCTTTTATCATCTTTTTTTTTCTTAGGTAGGTCCCTTTAACCTTTTATATAATATGGGCCTGGTGATGATGAACTCCTTTAACTTGACCTTATCTGGGAAGCACTTTATCTGCCCTTCCATTCTAAATGATAGCTTTGCTGGATAGAGTAATATTTGATGTAGGTCCTTGACTTTCATGACTTGGAATACTTCTTTCCAGCCCCTTCTTGCCTGTAAGGTCTCTTTTGAGAAATCAGCTAATAGTCTTATGGGAACTCCTTTTAGGTAACAGTCTCCTTCTCTCTTGCTGCTTTTAAGAGTCTCTCCTTATCTTTAATCATGGTTAATGTAATTATGATGTGCCTTGGTATGTGTTTCCTTGGGTCCAACTTCTTTTGGACTCTCTGAGCTTCCTTGACTTCCTGGAAGTCTTATTTCCTTCACCAAATTCAAGAAATTCTCCATTAGTTTTTCAAATAAGTTTTCAGTTTCTTGCTCTTCCTCTTCTTCTTCAGGCAACCCTATGATTCGGATGTTGGAATGTTTAAGGTTGTCCTGAAAGTTCCTAAGCCTCTTCTCATTTTTTTAAATTCTTGTTTCTTCATTCTGTTCCAGATGGATGCTTACCTTCCATTTGTTCCAAATCATTGATTTGAGTCCTCATTTCCTTCTCTTCACTGTTGGTTCCCTGTTTTTCTTTATTTCACTTTTTATAGCTTTCACTTTTTCCTCTATTTTGAGACTATACTCAGCCATTTCTGTGAGCATCCTGATTACCAGTGTTTTGAACCCTGTATCTGATAGGTTGGCTATCTCTTCATTGCTTATTTCTGTTTTTTGAGCTTTTATCTTTTATTTAGGCCATATTTTTTTTGTCTCAGCACACCTGTTAGTTTATAAGGGACAGAGCCTTGGGTATTCGCCAGGGTGGGGCAACCCATGTTGCCAAGGTTGTGGCACTGTCTGTGGGGGAGGGGTCAGAGAGGAAACAATATCATTTGCTCACTTATCAGCCAGCTTTTAGTCACTTCTCCCACTACCCACAAGCAAATTGGGCCTTTCTGATGCTGTTTCCTGGGTAGGTGAGCTTGTGTGCATTCTAGGACCCTGTGGCTTTCTCCAAAGAAGTCTCCTGAGAAACTGGGGGTTTCTTGAGCCACCACAACCCCCATAGGTATTTACAGCCACAGGTTTTGAGGGTGTATTTACCTACCCTGGAACCCTGGGTCGCACAGTCTGTCTTACTCTCCAGTTATTCCTCCCAGTTTTTTCACACACAAGTATGGGGCTGCCCATAACTATTGAACTAATACTACTAATGAATTGAAAGGGCAAAACAGGAAAAAGCAACACAGAAAAAGTAACAAAATTAATAAAAGGGGAGAAGGGAACAATGGAGTTATCGAGTAATCGATGACAAGAGTAAATTAGGAGATATGAAAGAAAAATTAGAGTGCCAAAAATAGAAACAAGGAAAAATAGATAAAAATAAATTAGAAGTCTGTGAAAAAGAAAAAGTAGTGAAAATAATGGGAAAAAAAGATTGATTTTGTCTCAGCAGAGATTAGTGCTTGCCTGCTGGTTTCTCCCTTTGGATACAGCTCTAGTGTCTGAGTTGGGTGTAAGTCAATGTCAGATGCTGTCCACGTCTGGCCCTTGGCAACCGTTTCAAAGCTACAAGTGAGCCACAGTTTGTGGCTGATTCTTCCGGGCCTGGGTGCTCTCAGAGTGAGCCAAGCTGCTCTGCAAAGCTGGCTCTTATCAGCACTGGGTCCACGGGTGTGTCAGCAAATGTCCCAAGTCACTGCAGGATCCACCTCTGCCTATCTCTGCCTGCTGGCCTGCTGTCAGTCTTAGACTAGTTGAACAATCCTGACTGTTTCTGAGGGGGCTTCTAGCAGATAAAGGTGGCTGTTATTCTTGGATCTCCCATGGCAGGTGCCTCTCAGACTTCAGGGAAGATGGTGAGTGTGATCCCCCTCCCCCGAGCCACTAGTCTGAGCCTGTCTGGGATTATTTCCCTGTACTCTGCTGGGCACTCGGACAGTGTTTCTGTGCCTCTTACCTGAGGGGAAGCAGCAGTCTGTTTCCCAGGAAAGTGTATGGTTTGGCTGTGCCCTATAGCCAGGCTCTAACAACCCCTGAGTCTGTTTAGGTTGCTGTCTCTTCAGCAAGTGTTAAGGTACAGGATGGGAGAAAAGAAAGAGAAAAAAACTCAAATGAAACAAAACACCAAGACAGAACAAAACTGAAAAAAGAACAAGAAAGGTACAGGATGGAGCAAATAGGATTTCAGAGGGTCTGGCAAGTAGAACTCCATAGGGGGAGGGTGCAGTGTCCCACAGGGTAAGGTAATTGATTTTCCCCTGCGAGGGGCTAGCTGTTCTCAAGAAAGATGGCTGCTGTGAAGCCCAGGTATATCCCGGCCTCCCAAATCCCATAGGCTCTCTCCCAAGTCTCTCTCCAGTGCCTCCCACTCCAGCCTCTCCTCACGTGAGTCCTGGCCACCTCCATTCACAGGGGTCTGAGGTGAGTAGCTGAGAACATAAAACCTGTCCTTTGCCCCTTTAAGGAAAAAAAAAGATGGTGAATTTGTCACCAGCGGTTTTCCTCTCCGCAGCAGAGAGAACCCTCATGGCCTTTCACTGCTGTTTGCTACATGGTGGGCCAGGCTCAGCACTGGTTCTCTGCTTGGGAGGCCAGTCTGTGGTCCACCTGTGTGTGCAGAGCCAGCCCCTTTAAGATGTCCCTGTGCTTCCTACCAGTCTAGGGATTATTTTTTGGCTGTCTTTGGTTACAAGTCTCATTTTCAGGTAGCATGTGGTTTAACTTGGGTAATTGTTCTCCTTTTTAATTTTATTTCCAGTCTGGTTCTGGAAAATGGTACACAATATATTCTCCCACTCCACCACCATCTCGCCAGATCCTCCTAAACTTTATTTTTTTTAATGTTATTATGAATAAAATTGGTTTTTAATTTCTTTTGAGATTATTTATTATGAGTATATAGAAACAGAAGTGATTTAAGAAATTTTTTTATTTTGCAACTTTGCTGAATTAATGTATTACTTATTCTAAATTTTTTAATGGAATCTTTAGAGTGTTCTTTGTATATAGAGCATGCACAGACATGTACACCAAAGGCAGAATGTTCATGGCTGTATTACTTATAAAAGCCAATGACTTGAATGAACCCAAAGATCTATGAATAGTAAAATGGACAAATTGTAGCAGCTTCATACAATCAGATGTTACACGGTAATGGAAATATACAACTGCTCCATGCAGTGATATAATCATACAAACATAAAAAGTCATTCTCAAAGAAATGTATACTATATATCTCCATTTAAGTTCATGAGCAAACAAGGCTAATATGTTATTTTATAACATTGCTTCTCAAAGTATGGTCCAGAGACCCCTGAGAAGTTAAGTTCTCAGAACCTTCTAGGAAATCTGTAATGTTAAACCCATTTTCATAATAATACTGAGACTTTTGTGTGTGTGTGCCTTTTTCACTTTCATTCTCTTACTCATAAGTGTCCAGTAGAGTTTTCCAGAGACTGCATGGTCTATGCTGTTGTTAGTGATTGAATGCAGAAGCAGAGGTGAAAATCCTTCTATTAAGGCAGACATTAAGGAAGTTTTCAAAGTTTGAAACAGCATCTCTACATATTTTTATGGAAAGTAGAGTTATTTATGTTGATGTATTATTTATGATAATATGTAAGTGGTTAATTATTCTTTATGTATTTTTTACATTTCTAATGTTTTATTTCTAACAGGTTAAATAGCCCACATAAACAAGAGCTCTCTGGAATTTTGGGAATTTTTTCTTGCAACCCAAAATTTGAGAAACACTATTTTCTATGATAGGATAGTGGTTACCTTTAGGTAGTAAAATGGGTTAAATGATTGGAAGGAGACCTGTGGAGGCTTCCAGAATGTTGGTAAAAGTCTTTTTTAATCCAAGCAGAGAATGCATCCATGTGTTCATTGAAAGTCTTTAAACACTATACTTTAATATGTGAAGTACTATTTGCAAATTGGCCATTGGCACACAGAAGTTACCGTACATCACCAGAAGTTAATTTTCATACCATGAGAGTTCTGTGCCGAGTATATGATGAGCTTCACAATGTTTGGAACAGTGCAGCACGTTACTTCACATTCTGGAATAGTCAGATGTATGTTGCTTGGTTTCCTGCCATAACCTATTAATGGTTTTTTAATATATCTAGAAATTTTGTATATCCTATTAATTCTTTTTTCTCACAGTGTATTTGTAACCCTCATAGGAAGAATCCTGTCCATTTTCAACATTTCAGTCACCCCGGTGATAGTGACTATGGACGTGTAGAAGCCACACATCAAGATGAGGCTGATAACCGGCCTGAATGTCCTTATGGAGAATCTTGTTACAGGTACATGACCCTGAAACAGGTGGTTGTGCTTCCTTTTCTCTGTGATCTCTGTTGTTTATTCCCTGGTGCCTGCACTTTCTCATCTCAAGCTTTTAACTTCCAGTTTTTAAACTTCCATAGAAAATAGATTTTCATTTTGCTAATACATAGGTAGGGTTATAATATTTATTTTAGATAATCCTAAATTGTTGAAGTTATTAACCTTCTAGATGCCTGCAATTTTTCCCATTTCTAACTTTCTAAAATTCAGATCATATCATTTAAAAGCTGCCAATGCTGTCCCATCCCACACTTTATCCAGACTCCTTAGTGTGACACAAATCAACTCAGGAAACCCATCTGCCTCCATCAACTCCACCATTCGTGCCGACACGTGGAACTGGATCCTGTAAGAAGCGTAAAGTTGCCTCTCTCTCCTCCATAGCATCTCGTGTCCATGGGTATCACACAGAGTAGGATTTATCTCAAGAGAGCTGTGTTTGTTTCTTTATTGGATTGTGTCCTCCTCCAGGCAGTAAGTTTCTGGACAGCAAGGACTCTTTTATCCTTGTATCTGAAACTTTGTTTAATGAATGAATGAACTTGAAATAGATTATACTCCCAAAGAAAAAGGTAATGATTCCAGTCTCAGGGAATGTTAATTCCAAAGAGCTGTTTTTCTGATAATTTTGGAATAGAGGTTACTGCACTAATGGACTTTTTGAATTTGTTGCAATTTCTATAATTGTGGTTATAGAAGGTGAAATAAAAAGGAAAGGAAGGTGAGGCTAAAAAGGAAAATAAAAAAACTTATGCCTAATCATTTGAAAAATAAGTGTTCTATTCCAGCAGAGAACATCATGCAGATAATAAGGTATTTTCATCAGCTGTGTCAATAAACTTGAAAAATTAGGAGCAATGAACAAATTCCTAGAGAATACAACTTTTAGAAAGAAATACAAGAAATGGAATAATCCTATAATGTTAGAGAAATCGAACATGTAATTAAAAAGCCTTCCACTAAAGAAATTATTTGGCATGAAAAAAGAAACAGTTTTTATACAAAATATTCTCAAAAAAGTAAAAAAGGTTATATTCTCCAACTCATTTTATGAGACAAATGTAACCTTGACACTAAAACTCAGCAAGAAAAATACAAAATGAAAAATTACAGGAAAAATGACTTTTGAACTTAGGTGTAAAAAGAACAAAAATAATTAGTTAACTGAATCAAACAATTAACAAAACAAGGATACTATACTGAGCAAATTGGGTTTGTTCAGGGAATACATGTTTTCTTTAATATTAAAAAATAATTTAATTATTCACCACATACCAGAATAAGTAGAAAATTATATAATCACTTCAACAGATAATTTTAAAAACTGACAAAATTAATTCTTTAATGATAAAAACTTATTTCAAAGTAGGGATAGAAGGAAACATCTTTAACATTATAAAGAATAGCTACAAAAAGATTATAGCAAACATTCTACTAATACTTAGAAGTGAGATGTTAAAATTTTTCTTTCTGATACCAGAAATGAGAATAATATTTCTTCCCTTAATTCTGTAGTGAAATGACTGTTCTCTGTCCCACGGGGGAAGGCCGTAGACAGCGGAGCTCACTCAGAGCTGCTCCCTTTTTTCCACATGTTGACTCGCCTCTGGTCCTGCCTGCTTTTGATAGCCACCCGTTGGCTGAAGGTTATTGTTTTTGATAGATTTATTCTGTCACTGCCAGAAGTAGAACTCTGTGTGATATAAGATAGCGCTGCTCCAGCTTTTGTTAAATGTTTGCTGACATTTTTCATCCTTTCACATTCAGCCTCTATCCTTATATTTGAAGCATGTCTTCACAAATAGCATATAATCGGTTCCTTGGTCTTATTTTTTAATCCAGTCTGATGGTCTCTGCCTTTGAGGTGTAATGCTTAGTCCAGTTACATTTAATACAATTACTGATATATTTCAGTTGCCTTTTTTCTGTTTGTTTTCTATTTGTCCTATACAATTTTTGTTCCTTTATTCTTTTCCTGGTTGGTTTTGGGTTAGTCAAGTGTTTTTCATTCTTTTTTCTTCTCCATTAACTTTTTAGTTGTATATATTTTCATTAGTTACATTAGACTTTACTTGGCATCTCTGACTTAATACAATCTCCTTTACCATTTCCCAGATCGTACAATAATCTCACATCCATTTAATCCCATTTCCTCTTCCTCTTCTGCCTTTCCTTTTTACAGTTGTCATATGTTTCCCCCTACACATGTTAACTACAAGGTATAGTTAATAATTTCTTAAATGTTAGCATCATCATTCTTTTATACTTGCTGGCATATTTGTTACTTTGGGTGCCCGTCATTCTTTCCTGAAGTTTTATGCTTTCATCTAGTATCATTTTCTTTTAGTTTTAACTTCTTTTAGTGTTTTATATAGTACAAATCTGGAAAAGAATTTTTTCAGCTTTTGTGTATCTGAAAATGGCTTTATTTATATATTTTTTGAGGGATGTATTTACTTGGTGTAGAATTTTAGATTGGCAAGTTTTGTTTCCTTTCATCTCTTAAAGGTGTCATTCTACTGACCTTGCAGTCGTAGTCTGTGTTGAAAGTACATATTGTTGCTCTTTTGTAATTAATGTGCCTTTTCTCTGGTCACTTTTAAAATTTTTGTTATTGCTTTTTGTTTCAGCAGTTTACATATGTCTAGGTATTTTTTTATTTGTATTCCTCCTGTTTTGGGTTCAGTGAGCTTTTTTGCAGGTTACTGTCTTGTTAGTTTGGGGGCATTTCTTGGCTCTTGACTCGTTAGATGTTGCTTCTGCTGTGTTCTGTCTCCTCTCTCTTTCTTCTACTCCAATTAAACATATATTACATTTTTGACAATGTCCTCCTTTTATTTCCTTTTATGCTTCAAAATGGATATTTGTTGTTTAATTGTCTAAACACTTTACTAATCCTCTTTTGTGTCTAGCCTGCTGTTAAACTCCTCTGAAGAATTTTTAACTTCAGAAACTGCATTTTTCAATTTCAAACTATCGATAATTTTTTATAGGTTCTAATTTTGATGAAATTATCCATCATTTCATTCACACTCCCTATTTTTCCCTCTTTTCAAAACATATTCTTCCCTGGCTGGTGTAGCTCCGTGGATTGAGTGTGGGCTGTGAACCAAAGTGTCACAGGTTCAATTCCCAATCAGGGCACATGCCTGGGTTGCAGGCCACAGCCCCCAGCAACCGCACATTGATGTTTCTCTCTCTCTCTCTTTCTCCCTCCCTTCCCTCTCTAAAAATAAATAAATTTAAAAAATCTTAAAAAAACATATTCTTTAACATACTTTTCTTAGGTATTTTAAAAATTGTATTTGCTGATCAACATTTCTTGATCAGTTTCTTTTATTTTGGTGATTGGTCATATTTCTCTGCTTCTTCATGTCTAAGTGATTTTTTTCTTGCAATCCTAACTTTGTTTATGAAAAGAACTGTAGAGGTTATAGATACTCGCTTCCATCGCTGAGGGTATCCCCTGTGTTTGGCAGACAGTAGCCAGGCATCTCTGTCTAGTCAGAGACTTAGATAGATAATTAGGTTGACATTTTAATAAAACTTGGTCCACCTTTGAAAAAATTGGCCTTGTTCCTTTCATTCCTCAGTGGTCATGACAATCCCATGAAACCATGGAAAGCTCTACTAGTCTCTTTTCAAATAGTGTTCCCCCACTCGCTACAAATCTTAACCTCAGCCCACACCAAGAACTGGCAAAGGCCACTAAGGAAGAAAAGAGCCAGAGAGTTTTGACTCACCTATGAAGGGCTTTTTACTCCATGGAATTTTATTTATTTATATTTTTAAAGATTTTATTTATTTATTTTTAGAAAGAGAGGGTAAGGGGGGGAGAAAAAGAGGGAGAAAAATATTGATGTGTGAGAGAAACATTGATCGGCTTCCCTTCACAGGTCCCCAACTGGGGACCTGGCCCCCAATCCAGGCGTGTGCCCTGACTGGGAATGGAACCAGTGACCTCTCAGTTCGCAGGCCAGCACTCAACCCACAGAGCCACGCTGCTTAGGGCCCTCCCTGGAGTTTTAGATAATCTAAAATTTTCATGCTCCCACAATTCTCTCACAAAAATTATTTTTATAGCTTATCAGCTTTTTTTCTATTTGTTGAAACAAGAATATTGGTTCACCATGATGTCCTACATTTTTCCCAGAAGCAAAATCTAAATGTGCCTATTCTTGAGAAGAATAAAAATGAAATACAAAGCCTTGCTAAGAATAAGGTTGCCAAAAATTGCCACCTTCATCTCATTAATCTTTTTGAAGGCGATCAGTGGGAGTAGTCAAGATAAATTACTGCAAGGCCATTGATCACATGTAGTAATAGAAACTTTCATATCTATGAATATATTTACATATACATATAGTGTATTTTTTCATCTGCTGAATTGCTTAGTGTTGTGGTTCTACTTAAAGATAAAATCTGAAGATTTTTTTCCTGTTAAGTTTGATTACAGTTCAGAGAGACTCTTGGAGAACATTACTTATGATCACTCACATCGACTGCTGTTTTACAAATAAGGGAAGGAAACTAATAAAGCTTAAATGAGTTTCCTGAGACTCCAAAGCCAGTGAGGTCAAAGCCAAGTCTCCTCCTCCTCCAGTCCAGCATTTCTCTGTGGTTCGGCCTGACCCCACCCCTATTAGTCGTGGCTTCCTAAACTATGACGCTGTTTGTCTTTTTAGACAAATGGCAAAACATTTGGCAGTTTAAAAAACCCAGGATAAGGTGCTTTGATTGAAGAACTTGTGAATTTTTCAGATAATAGAAACCCTAATTGCAGAAGCACGATACATAGTTGTATGCCCTTTCTTTTGCATTATCATTATTAGGCAAAAAAACAACAGCAATAAAAAACATGATCCAGATTTTTTGTGTCATTATTAAAAACTAATACTATGATCAATTTACTCTTTAACAACCTTTATTTATAAGAATATTTTTTAAAGATTTTATTTAT